GTTTTTTTAATTTTTACTACCTAGAATCAAAAAGATTGACGAAGTTCAAAATCAAAAAAATCTTGCGGGTGAGATTTTTTTGAAATTAAAAAAATTAACTTTTTTTCATTCACCAAATGAGATGTTGAAATTCTCAAATTGGGAGAAAAAAATTGAAATAGAGAGTTATTAAAAAAAATAAAAAGACAACCAAATTCCATCCGTTCTATAAAAAGGAAACTATGAAATAACTAACGGGGAAAAAAAGAACTTCTCTGTGAGAAAAAAAGCTCTGCAAGTTTTTTTGAAAAAAACGTTTGATCCCTTCTCTGAAGTTTTTCAATTTTTCATCACGATTTGGAAATAAATCAACAATAAAAAAACTGATTTCACAAAGAAATCAACTGAAATAAATCAGTTCTTTATTGTTGATATACTTTCAAATCGTGATGAAAATTGAAATTTTCAGAGGAGAGAGCTCAAGAAAATGGAAGTTCAGAACGAGGTGCAAAGTATTTTAATTGATTAGAGGTTTTAGTTCAAAAAGATGGAAGTATTGAATAAGGTGCACTGAAAGAGTGTTACCCATACAAATAATCTATTGAAAGTTCAGAAGCTCGGCGATTCGGTTAAAACTCAAAAAGAAGGAAGTTTTGGAAGGGGTGCGCAAGAAACTGGGAAGATGGGAAGAGTACCGAGCCGAGTTTAGAGATGCGCGCCTGTTGCGGATTACTACATAAGCTCATCGCGCGTTGCACAGTGCCGAGGTTGTGTGGAATATGTAATCGCGCGCCGCTCCACCCAACACTTCAAAACTTCTCAATGGCAGGTTTTCTCCCTAACTCGGCCTTTTTCCCATTTAGAGCCCTTTTCGAACTCCTAGAATATGATTAACACGATCTTGCAAATTAGTAAATCAACTTTTTCGAAAAAATAATCATACTGTGTTCAAATGTTTAGACGAAATTGAAGTAACTGTCAGGTATTGTAAAAAAATGTATAAGTTTTTGAAAAATTCATAGATGGTTCCGAATTTCGGGGAATCAATTATTGATTTTTAATCGTTTTTTTATTTTCTTCCGCACATCAAAGTTTCCTAACAGAGAAAAAAACTTTTTTTGAAAAGAGGAATTGAAAAAAAGTCAAACTTTGATTGAGAGACCTCTTAGAAATACCATAGTTTCCTTCATATGAATTGCTTAAAAAAGTGGAGTTTCTCATAGAAAATAATCATTTTTTGGGAATGGCATAAAAAGGTCTAAAAAATGTCTCTTCTTTTTATATTCCATGCGTTCTAACTTTCAAAAATTCCATTTAAAGTACATATTTCAAAGTTAGCGTCTCCCCGAAATTTTCAGGTTCATACAAATTTACTTCTTAAAGAACAACTTCAAGATCAAATGTCAAGCAAACATCAAAAATAACGATTTTCAAAACTAAATTGAAGCTCGATAGCCAGCCTTCAAAGATGGACCAAATATAGAGTGTCATATAATAATCTGAGAATGGAAACGGAGGAAGTGGACGCCGAGTGGACATATTAAGTTACCACTGAAGCGTCCGTTGCGCGTCATTTCAGTCGCTTCCCTTCTTAGGTGAAATGAGACGTTTGTTAAAAACTGGGGGATCTGAATAAGGTTATTTCGAATAGTTCAAGAAATTAAAAAAAGGACTTTTTTTGCAAAGAGATATTAATGGAAAAGCTAAGTTCTTATAGATTTCCCAAATTTATCCATAAAATCTCGTCGAAAACACTTGCTGGTTTGTAAAAAAATTTCTCGCAAAGTTGAAGAAGATGGTAAAAGTGTTTTTTTCTTGTGAAGGCTGTAGTTTTTACTTATTGAAGCATGTCAGAAAGTTCTTCAACCAAAAATTTGAAAATTTATGTTTGGTAGATACAACAAAAAATCAACCGATAATAATATTCAATCTGAGAAATTCTCCCAAAAAATCTCCCAAAACTGTTGATGGCAGGATAAAGTCGAAATTTCCACTTCTTTGCCGCAAATGGAACAAAGTAGCCCCTATTATGAGACATAATTTGAACTGAAGAGAAGAACCAACTGGAAATTTAGATTCTCGTTCTTGAAAGAGACAGAAAAATTTCAAATCCAAATAAAAAGAAGTGAAAAAAGCACGCAGTTGAAAGAAAATAGTTTTCGAAAAGGAAAACCGGATCGAATTTTCCTTGAAACAGCAAAATTTCAAACGCGTTCGGGATCTCATTCCACTTTGCCTAATGAATTGCCGACGAGCCGGATAAAATTGGTTCTCAGGCTTGCAACATCCGAAGAAGGCGGCGAGAATAGGCAAACATGGGCGTGCTAGTGGGACTCCGAACAACAAGGGATCAAGTTGTTCCAGAAGTCAATTTTTGACTCGGAATAAGTCCGTTGGCATTTATTCACTATGAAGTCGCACCAGTTCTTTTTGAACCTCGATTCATTTTGAAGCAATTTGAATTTAGATTTTAAAAGAAGCAACCGAAAAAAAACTCAATAGGATCTTTTTAATTGAAGACCTGGTTGAATAGATAAGGCTCCAAAAATGAAGAATTTTCAAAAATATACCTTCGGGATAACTGCTTTTTGAACTTTACCTCCAAACCTCACCGAGCAAAATTCTTGTTTTTGGTGACGCCCAATATCAAAAAAAAAAAAATTAAAGTAAAACTTCTTCGCTTGAATTTGCAAGTCATTACCAAGAAAATTTCTATTGCGAATTTCCGCATGCAATAATGATAAGGTGTAAGAAGAGGCGCAAGTTGACAAGACAGATGGCTGGACGTTTGGCTTGCAAATGAGCTCTTGAGCGCAAATGGCGGGCTTCCCCAAGCAGCCAAAAAAGGAGGGGAATCTCAAACACGATTGGAACGCCAAAAACGTCCAATTAGCCGCTTGTTCATGCATTTTTCGTGGTTCTTTCTGGTCCTCGTAGTGCACTTGTGCAAGAGAAAGAGAACAAGAAAATAAGATTCTGTTGAACTTTTCCGAGAGCTTTGACAATCGAAGCAAAACTAGATGAAAGGAAAAAACCATGTATGAAACTTTTTCTAATGAATTTAAATGGAACTCGGGTTAGTTAAAACTCATTGAGATTTATCGAAAAGCGACTGGAATCGAAAAAAACGAACATCTCTCAGAGTATACGTTAGTTATTAAAAATCCTCAAAAAAGACGCGCAAAAAAGTTTGATAATAAAAAGTTGTTGCTATCCAAACGATAATTTTGCCAGAGATCAGGTCTGTAATTTTGTAAAGCGCCAATAACGTTTGAAAGAAAAAAAATTCAGTCTTTGGATCAAAAGAACGAATAAAACAAGCCTCTGTGAACAGGAAGAAAAAAAATTTAGCATTTTTCAGAATAATCTTCTTCTTCAAGCAAAAATTCTCACTCTCTTAAAAAAAAAATACATAACAAAAAAAAAATACAGAAACGCGATTTTCAGAACGCGTAATCTGAGAAGCAGCCGAAAAAGAAATGAAAAGGCAAGGGTCTGAAAATGGGTCAGCAGGAGTGACCAACGGCTCCCAATGGCTTAGGCTCTCCCACTCTCGTTCGAGTGGACCCTCCACATCCACGAGCTATCGATCTCCATGTGCATTATGCTAAAATGTTCGGTTGCGTGTTCATTGGCCCTGTTTCCAAGTTCAAATTGATTTGAAGCAACTTCTTGAAAATAACTACTGAATGAGAAACTAATTTTCGAATCTCTTCAAATTGAAAAAAAAAATGAGACTTACGTCTGGAATAAATTTTTTTCGTAATATGTAGTTTCAATAATTCTTAGTTCGGAAACTTTTTATAATTGGTAAGTGAAATTTTTCAAAAAAATGTCAAATATCTCAAATGAAAAACAAAAAAAGCTATTTCAGTTAACTAAACATCTGAAAAATCTTGAAGCCTACTATATCGTGAATTCTCATCATGTATTGGTCAAAAAATTTTTCTAAAATTAATTCGAGTGAAGTTTATTGTCATGACCAGAAAAAAAAAAACATGATTGGAACGAGGTTCTCGGCTTTTGTAGATCGCAACGACAACAACGAGAAAAATAATCAGTTTGACGTCAGAAACTTGGAAAACCATGACTTGAAAAATCAGAAGCAGGATTGAATCTTTCTCTTCTCATAATCCTCTCCTCGTTTATTTAAGATCCCTTGAAAATTTCCCCGTTTACTCGTTTAGAATACAACTTATGAACGTTTTCATAAACAGTTTTAATCTGACGCCTCTCCATTCCATTTTATCGGCCTTAATTAAACTTTTGTTTCCCAGTAATCAGTATAAAACATAATCAAAACACGCTGTAAGTTTATTCAGATTTATTTTTCAACGGAAGTTTCAGAAATTTGAGAATGAGATGTCGGGAGGCCTAACTTAAATTCAGAAAGAAGATCAAACAATTTTTTTAGAACTTCTTGATGACAAAATGTTTGATTTCAAGCGAGAGAAAGATTTTTTCAGATTTCACTGGAAACTAAAACGCCTTGCAAGTTTCTTGCTCACTTTTTATTTCGGTTTACTCACAAAGATTGTCGAAATCAGTCTAACTTCCCATTTTGTCGATTCATCGTTGCTTTTTCCGAAGTTTTTTTTACTTCATGTTTATATTTGAAAGAAGTCTTGTAGTTCATGGCAGCCACCGACGGTTCAAGAAGTTCAGTGTCCAACGACTTCCAAGAAAAACGACTGCATTTTGATGAAATATCTCTTTTTTTCCGATAATTTTTTTATTGTTGTCGTTTTGCAATGTTCTTTTTTTGTAGTAACTCAAAAACGCACCTAAAGAAAAAAATTTTTACGATCCAACGATCTTGGCGAAAAAAAGACAAAATATTTACGAAAGAAAAAGAAATATTGGCACGCGGCCGGCGAAGAAATAGTACAGATCAGGGCCAAGTTCGTAAATAAGTTGGACGCAGAAAAAATGAAAAAAGCCAAAAAATTTTGAGATGATGGAGCTCGAGAAGGATCGCCTGAAAAGCTTGAAATTTGGAGGAAACATTTGTGGAATTATACCTAATCCTTGGAATTTCCCGCCTCGAGATCGACGCTGTCTGCCGTCACAGGATCGGCCTGAAATGAATCATGAAGACGGATATTGGATAGAAATAGACTAGGCGTTTTGATGGGAAAAAGTCCTTTTTTTCTCATCTAGTTTCCCAGGAGATTTCGGATGAGAAACGACTACAGTGTTTGGAAACAAGGAGAAAAAACAAGTTTTGCTTTTTTTTAATCCCTTTTTCGACATGATCCACTTTGCCACGAACATTTTTCATTTTCGAAGAAATGAGCCTGAATCACAACTGTTCTCTGAGCTCAGGTCATACTTCTCACACAGAAAAACTTTCATATTCGGTTTTTAGAAACGGATATCGAAGGAAATGAAACGACAGGTCTTCATCATTTCTTGAACTCCGAGAAGATTTGAATGATTTTTCTCAAAAAAAAACATTTAAATCTAAAAAAAATACCTCTGCGGTGTCATTTTCGGCCACCGTCTCAGGTTCATTCGACGCTACGGGCGAAGGGAACGGAATCCGAACCGAGTGCAGATTGTCTTGAGAAGTCGGACTCATCCCTAGGAAGAAATATGAAATCTTGAGCTCAGCGAAAAGGCAGAAAGAGTGAAAAGATTGGAATGCAAATAAAAAACCAATAATTTAACAAAAAATGCATAGGGCAGTTTCTTCTGAAATTTTTCTTCCGGCTTCTCAAAATTTCTGAAAGTTTGGAGGGAATTCTTGATGTTAACTACCCATATGAACTTTTTGAATCTTCTCAATCCGACTATCCGCTGTAAGTTGAGAAGTTTCTATTCTGACGTGTCCTTCCTTTTTTATTAGAACAAAAGTTCAACGGAATAATAATTTAGGAGTCTTTTCCATTGAACTACTATATTCTTGCATTTTCCTGCTGAATTTTGTTTTAGTTTTGGAATTAGAACAGTTGTTTTATCTCACAAAAATAATGCGCCTGTTCATGTATCTTCATTCAGAACAGCGGAACTATCTGAGAGGAAATTCTCACCGAAAGTCGGGTTCAAGGGAGAAGCTCGACGAGGTCCAGGAGAACGGAGTTCTGCGATATCGGTTCCGATTTCCTCTCGATTCTCTGAAAAAGTTCATAAATAACAGGATTATTGGAGAAAACCCGTTTGAAGAAAAAAATTGAGAAGCTAAATGAAAGACATGAAAAAAATCTATAATATTTTTTTCAGAAGAAGACAATTTTTTTCTCAAAGTTTGAACACGATTGAACAACTAGATGAAAGGAAAAAAACATCTTTTTTTCGGAGGAGCTGAAAAAAATAAGAACTTTTTATGTTGATGAATGAGAGAAAATCCAAAAAGGGTGCTAAAAACCAAAGAAGAAATTGGGTTGTTCAAAAAGTTGAATGTTTGGTCGATGGTCATGTGGAAGATACTTTCATATAGAAACTATGGGAGACCTCGATTATGCATCACCGTGAAGTGAACCGGCTCCTGCGAAGAAAAAGGCGGTAAAAGTCGGCATTGGCTTGGGCAAGTTGGGATCTCGTGGGGGGCTCTGAAAAGGTATTCATCAGCTTCAGAACTGAAATTCAAAACACTTGTTTTCGGAAACGGGAATCAATTTATAAAAATAGGTACATTTTACGGAAAATTCATTTTTGTTTTTAGAAAGCTAGCTTTTTGTTTTTCTTTGAAGTATATACTTATTCCGTCTGAAATATATCTTCAGTTGGATCTGAGCTTGACGAAAAAAACAGAGACAAACCGATGTTCCGATTGTGCAAGAGGTGGGGAAACGATGTCGAGGCTCTCAATCGGAGTGAATGTCACCAATGGCGAGATCGGAGCGTCGTTGTCTAAAAGTTCGATTTCAAAAAATCTCTAGGTTTGGATCAATCCAAAAGGTTGTCAGTGAAATCTCAGAAGAGCTGATAATTAGAGTTCCTTTTCATTACAACCAAAATTGGTTTCAACAATGTTAAAAAAGCCCCGCTGCCAGAAATTTTCGAGAAAGGTGATTTTTTTTTCCGAAATTTCGAATGGAAACGCTAAAACTTCCGAGTAACATACCGGTTGTGATCGACAGGAGACTGGGCCTGCCGGCGCTTGAGACGTCGGCAGGTTCTCCAGCCAACCCATCACTTCCATGATCGACAGAGACGTGCCCGATGTGATCTGAATTGCAGAATCTTGGTAACAGAATGGAAATATGGGAAAAACCCGGCGAGACGTCGTTCTCAACGGTCAGATCACATGGAATCGGTTGAGATTGGTCGGCCGGCGTGGAGAGCAAGAGCGGCGACGTCGGAGTTCGAAAAATCTGAAACTCGATTCTCGAAAAATCTTTGTTTTTTTGAAAGGCAGTGAGACGAACTAATAGGGAACAATCCGACTCTTTGATTGGATATTTCAGTTTTTGTTTAATTTTTTTATCCATTTCATTTATTTCGAATCATTTTCTCACAAAAAAATTGATATTTCTCTATCTTCAAACTACCGTTTCACACTATGAAAATGAAAAATAATCAAGAGCTTCTTAAAAGGAGAGGGTTGTTAATTTTCTAGGAAGTAATCAATTTATGCGAGAGGCTTTTGTTATGAAACGCTGGATTTTTCAAATGACTCACAAGTCGAAACGAGCGAGGACACTTGGCTGGGCCAGCCGCTGCTCTGGGCAACGAACGACGGTGTGCCAGTCAAGTTGCTCACTTCTCCGTTGACCTCACTGATGTTCAATTCACGCTCTGAAATCCGCGAGTTCATTTAAACTTGAGAATTCGAAGTAATTTATCTCCTCGCGTGTCATTCAAAATACGTTTTGAACAGAACAAGATGAGTTTGAATCACACGATATTCGTTCAAAAATATTCATTTTCGCACACCTGCTTTAGATTATGAGCAAGTTTTTTGAATAACCTACCAATTGAGATCGACGAGACTTGGGTCGGTCTGTCGCTTCTTTGAGTGACGTCATACGAAATTGCCGTCGAGCTGTTGATGGACGGTTCCGAGTTCGCGGCTCTCGACTCATTGCTCGTGAAGGAGACTTGCACAACGCTGATGTTCGTGTCTGAAACCCAAAAATCAATTTGGCTTTCATAGCTCAATGAAAATTCGTTTGAAGTGAACTCCAAAATTTTGCCAAAATATATTCTCTGAAATATTATTCATTTCGGGTAAAACTGACATCCGTAGGTTGGCGATACCAATTCGGAAGTGTTGGAAGCTTGAGTTGGTGGCGCCTGCGTGGAGACTGCGCTCGGTTCTTCTGAAACTCAGTAATATGCATATTTGAAAGAAAAGTTCAGTCAAAAAAGACCATGATCTTTTTTCTCAAAATTCTTCGTCGAAGTTTGTCAAATTGAATACAGAAGAGAAAGTTTAGAAAAAACACTCATTCAGATTATAGGAATCAGAAACTGATGCTATCTTTTTTCGGAAAAGAAACCAACGAATGCAAACTTTAGTTCATTCGTTTTCGCGTAACTCACCAGCCGTGACGACCGACGAAGCAGAACTTCGTCTGCCGTCGTCTTGAGAAACGATGGCAGGTGAAACACCGTCGCCGATGGAGTTCGTCGTCTCTGAAGACTTTGCGAATAAAATACAGGCCCAAAAGTTTGAGAATTCTTAAAAATTTGTTTCACGAAACATGGTAATCTTCAGAACAAGCTTTATTAAAAGAAATTGAATTAAACTGGTTAGCAAAAAAAAAGAACGAATTAGATTTCTGACCCGGAATTATGGCGAATTTTCGGCTTTTTAATGGAAACTTATTTTTAAATTCTGTTCGTTCAATGATCACTATAAAATTATTTTTTGTTTTTTTCTCAGGCGCACCCATGACAGGAGCCCTCGAAAGTTCTCCTGTAGACTCCGTCGAGTCATGCCCATTTTCCACTGCAACAGGAGCCCAGCGGTACCGAACACCGTTTAGATAGATATATGGAGGAGGAACCGAAGGATCTGGAATAAATTCAGTATTCAATGTTTCTTGTGCAAATATCTCACTGTCACTGCTCTCATTTGGCGCGATCCGGACGATAACATCGCCTTCGCGACGCGTCAAATCATGAGACTGGTTGGTGTGCTCTTCATTCTTCGACGACGGATCAAAACTTTTCGGTGCAACTGAAAAAAATTCTCTCAAACTTCACAAAGTTTGACAATTTTAGGCCAATTCACGAATGAGGAGATTTTTTTCCCAAGACACTCAACCCAGAAAAAGATGAAATGAAACGCCTACCAAACGGCGAAGTCGCTTTATCCACGATCTTTTGACGTTTGGTTGCAGGTCCACTTGAATTCAAGCTTTCAGAGCTTCCCGCTTGCATGGCGACGTCTGAAACTTCCGTTTGCATACTCAAAAATAAAAGTTTCGATTCATTCAAAAAAATCGAAGTATTATTTTGAACGAAGCTTCGTTGAGAAATCTATCAGACTCAAAAAAAATATTTGACCGTCTTGATTCTAACGGTCATCCAGCTAGAAGATTTCACAAATAGTTTATTGAAGTTTGAACTCTTTGATTTGTACTGGAATCAAATTTTAGTGTCTATTTATTTCAAAACGTTGTAAAGCTTTCTCATTTCGAAACGGTACTTTTGCAAAAAAAATGAAGCTGGAAATTCTGAATCTTGCAGAGACTTACTGGCAATGGCGCTGCCAGAAACGGGCCTGCCGGCGAGAGAATCGACGGCAGGTTCCTCGGGCCCGTCCGCAGCAACGACAGCTTCGTTTTCCGGTTGCACTTCATCGACTGAATTTGTATTGAAATAAGGACATCTGATTATGATGATTTACCAGCAGCTGATGGAGCAGCTTGCGGGGGACGAGGAGCGGCGGGACGAGGACCGGCAGGACGAGGACCGGCAGGACGAGGACCGGCAGGACGAGGACCGGCAGGACGAGGACCGGCAGGACCAGGACCGGCAGGACGAGGACCGGCAGGACCAGGACCGGCAGGACGAGGACCGGCAGGACCAGGACCGGCAGGACCAGGACCGGCAGGATGAGGACCGGCAGGACCAGGACCGGCAGGATGAGAAGCGTGAGGACGAAGGCCTCCACGGCGTGAGTCCGCTGAAAACGACTCATTTGTAAAAATAAATTTTAAAGCTTTCATTATTAAAAAAAAGAGTGAAAATTACCTCGCTCCTGTTGCTCGCGGATGATAGCGGCTTCACGATCTAAAATATTTGAAATATTCATTATGTTCCAGATTTGAAATGAGAGTCATGAGTCCAGGTTGGAGGAAAAAAACCCACTGAGTTGGGCCGCCGTCTTCTGTTGGAAACGTTTCGGGGAGCCTTCTGAGAAATTTTTTTTTTATTCAGCGCAATGAAGAAAAAAAATAACTTACGTTTTTTTGGCCATTTTTTTCGTTGGGGGTTCCGAAGTTAGAACGAGCTGAAAATAAAAAAATTTTTCGAAGCAATTAAATTCATTCAAAAAAACTACAAAACTAGAAAAATTAGGAAAAATTACGATCGTTTCGATATTTTTGATACCTTTTTTTATAGCAGGTGAAATAAATTTTTAAAACTTTAGAAAAAAACTTTTTACAACTTTTTTTGTTTCAGAAGAAAGAAAAAGAAGAAGATAAAAAAACGATGAGAAGCACCGAAACGAGTGACAAATAAAAATTAGAAGCGAAAATAAATGCGACTTTCGAAAAAACTGTCGTTCTCTCGCCTGAGAGACGCAGCCCGCGAAAATTGGTAATATGAGCAAGTGCGACACAGACAAATGCGCGCTACAGTACGCTCTTCCAGCAAAAAAACTGGAGCTCCGAGGTCGAAAAAAAACTTTTTGAACTCAATTTCGTCTATTACTACTGATTTTTTTCAGAGCTAACAATTTCAAAGTCAAAAAAATATGACAAAATCGAGAGAAAAAAATCTTTTTTCATGTTGCTCTCAAAGGATAATCAAAAGGAAGACTAGAGTAAAAGACCACAACTTGAAACATCTTCTAGACTCGTTTTACGTCTTCTACTTGCTCTTTGGTGCCATGTCACACTTGGCTCGCAGCTGTGACCCAAAAAAAGAGCCTTGGTGTGACTTTTTTCTTTTACAACTGATTGTAAATTAGAGAGTGTCCAAAATGAAGGCTGAGATATGACCTCAACAAAAAAACGATCTTTGGACTCAAAAAAAGTAAAGATACATTAATTTCAAGCTGTAGTAACTTTTTGGAATTCAAATTATATGGTTTAGTTCAAAATTTCATATGAAAATTCTAAAAAAATGAATCTAGTGACAAGGCTTGAAGCTTCTCAATTCTATTTTTGCAAAGCGCAAAAGTGATCAATTGAGAAAAAAAGAATCGAAGATTGAGAGCTTTTTTTCACGATAAAAAAATTATAAAAAAAGTTAATTTTTGTATCTTTTTGATGAATGTTCAATGAAATAGGAACTGAAATGCCTTCGCGATTCAATTTATGGCTCGAAACAATTTTTGAACACCTAAATAGAAATAAGAAAAAGAAAAAAATCGTATACGGATCGAATTCAACAGAGTTTGAATTTATGCAAAATGAAATAATTAAATTTTTCTGCCTAATAATTGTGCTCGAGTTGAAAAGAAGAGAAAAAGATGAAATTTTCGAAAATGTGAAAAAAAAGCGCGAGAACGGTCTGCCAAGAAAATGAACAGCACAGAAAAAGCTAAGAAACAACAGTCCGTCATGGCGGAAATCGGTCTTCCCAGCCCTGGAGAGGCTGGAGAGCCCAACTTGGACCGACCGCTCGGGACAGAGTTTCGACAACAGAATGAAGACCGTAAAGACACGCCTACATTTTTGGCTTGGGTCACACTCTCCCGACACGCCCACTATCGCATGGAAAGGAGATTTTGGATCGCTTTATAACAAAAACAAATATTTCTACATTTCCAAGCCTTACTTTTGCCTGGATCGAAAATTCGAAAAAGGCAATAAGTTTGTAACAAAGAAAGCCAATAAGATTTCAAATAAAGAGTTCTAAAAAAAGTCGAGAGATGTCATTGAGGTAAATTTTTCACGAAAAAGGAAGGATATCACCTTACTTTCGAAGTTTTTCTTCATGAAAATATCAAAAAATGAAAGAGAATATAAGAAAAGATTTTCGAAATTTTAGAGTTTTTCAATAAAACGAGTTCAAGAAAGATGAGAAACAGTCGTTTCAATAGTTCGAAGTCTTTGAAATAGACCTTAAAACAACTAAGAATCCAATGAATGAGTTTAGTAAAATAGTTGGAAATTCTTAGATCTTTTTTTGTAACGCGTTCACGCTTCCTTGTGATAACTTTTGAGTATTAGAAATGAATTTTGATACGAACTCCTACTTAGTCATGTTAAATTATCATAATACCTACGGAATCAAGAAGAAATTTCACATATAAAATCAAAATCTATACAGCTTATATAACCGTAGATGATCCAAAAAGTTACGTACAAATTTCGAAGCTTTATTTTGAACAAAATCGATAGTTTTACAAAAATGAAAGACCTATAAAGAAACCAATCTTCTAGAAATGGAAAGATAATTTTACTGCAAAGTGCCAAAGAAGCATGTTTTCCTTGTTTTTCCAAATTCTCAAAAAAGACGGTCGAAAGAAAGACTACTAAAATAGACCTAAAGTTTGAAACATCTTCTAGACTCCTTTTTTGCCTTCTACTTGCTCTTTGGTGCCATGTCACACTTGGCTCGCAGCTGTGACCCAAAAAAAGAGCCTTGGTGTGACTTTTTTCTTTTACAACTGATTGTAAATTAGAGAGTGTTCATAATGAAGGCCGAGATATGACCTCAACAGAAAAACGATCTTTGGACTTGCAAGAATCAAAGATCGAGTTACTGTATTTATTTGAAATAGGATTGTCAATCAAGATAAAACTTTTGTTGAGAAAAAAAAGCTGTTTCTTGTAAAATATATATAAATCTTAGTTTTTGTACGAAAAGTTGAAACACTGATAATCGTGGGCCGCAGTGTACTCGATGTAATTTATTCATCAAAGAGTTTTTTTTGAAAGAAAACTGATACACAAAACAATATAATTTTTAAGATTCTTAATTTCAGTTGAAAAAAAACTTTTGCGTACAATTTCATGGAGCATTGCTCACTGGTCGCCAAAAATAGAAAAATCCAAAACTTTGGCTTTCATTCGTCTACACAGTTTCCGAGTTCCTATATCTATTCTCGCAGAGTTTATTTCACTTGTTATTTAGAGATTGTTTTAACTCATCTTAAACACTGTTTTTCAAAAAAACGGCGTCTGTAAAAAAACTGCGGAAATTTGCTGAAAAATCCGTTTGGGACCAATTGTGGCTGAAAAAAGATTGCATTTTCTCCCTTCAATTCGAAACTTTCCGCAGGTTTCCCAAAGTTTTTCGATTGTAATTGAAGTTTTCTCAGCATGAAAAATAAAATTTTGAATTAATTCAAAGTCAAATCGAAGTCACAACAAGTTTCCAGTAAGATAAATGATGAAATTCTACCAAAAAAATATATATATAGCACACTGAATTGACTGCGAATTGCCGCAAATTTGACTTTTCGATGGATTTTTCATAATTTGAATTGATTTTAATTGTACGTATGTTCAGGCAAAGGCTCTGTGAGTTGAATTTTAATTTTTAAAAACATATTCAAACTTCAATATATCAGAACCGGTCTATAAAGATGTCGACCACAAAAAAAATTAAGCGACGAAAACTGGCCAATGTGGTTCCCGAGTCGTTGCGGAAACCTTTAGCCGGCAAATATATTGATTTTTTTCTCATCTATTAATTTTTTTCCTACATTTAGATTGAGTAATAGACATGAATCTAACATAAGAATATTAGTTTTTCATAAGTCTTAGCGATTTCTACGTGGAAACGGTAAGCGGCGGATGAAATTCCGCATACACCGATTAGGAAGATTGCAGACAGCCGCTCTTCCTCTGCTCTCGTTGCGCTCATTTTTTTCACTCTTATTTTTTTCGTTTTTCTTTTTTTGTTTCTGATTTTTTTGTTTCAAAACATACCCACGTCTTGTTTTGAACGTTGTTCACTGTATTTTTCAACAGAAAGGCGTTTCAAATAAGGCGAATGATGCAAAAAAACGTGTCATTTTTCGATGTTTTTTTGCGGTTTTTCTGAGTAGATTTTTGCTTCTAACGTTGACCAAGTTGTCTCATAAGCAACACATGGAGTAGTTTAAGCACTTTTTGAACTGTTTCCTACGTTTAAATACGAATACCCAACTATTTTTGCATTGAAAACACAAAAACCTTGGATTATATCTCGTTTTTCAGTCATTAATGTGTCTCAAAATCGACTTGCCAGCTATTTTTCTTCTTTTTTTCGATGAATTTTTCTTTTTTTATTAAACTATCTTATTTGTATTTTTATTCTTCTCTCTGTTTTTCCATATAAAATATTTTTTTGCGGATTCGATTTCTCCTTTACCAATTTTTGCTCGTTGTCTCGTCGTAACTTGTTTCTTCACGACTAACAGTTCTAAATGTAAAATTTTCAGCGCGCTCAACATGTCTGGAGTTTTTGTTTTCGACGACGAGTTCGACAAATTGTGCCCAGTTCCTGGTAGCTTGGAAATAAATGAGGTAATCAAATTTTCTTAAAGTTCTTTCATAAACTTGAAATAAAGATAAATATTCGATTATAGATTATCTGTCTTCTCATCAAAAACAAACTTCCTATTAAATCACTATTTTTTCAGCCCTCGTCGATATTCGCCTTTCACTCCCTGAAAGCAAATGTAAGAAAATAAAACTCCAGGAAAATGATTAACATGGAATTTGCAGGTCGAAAAGTTGATCACTGACGCCGTCTCAGTCTTCAAGCAACAGCCCAGGAGAGAGGTTAGCAAGATTGTAATTATGTGGGAAATCAGGCTTTTTTGCAGGCGTCGGATTTTGTCGGGCTCCCAGTTCCACATGGTGCCGCTTCCGACGAAGTTCTCGCTCCGGTTAATGTTGAGTCGCCGGTAAGCCTCCAAGTTTTCTTTTTAAAAGTGCATAAAAAGCAGGAAACCTACAAAAAACAGAGATTTCCAGAGAATGCAAAGCTATATTTATTATCTGATAATCTTCCTCTTAAAATCACATTGTTCCCACTCAAATTCATATGAATCAACACGAGTTTCAGATTTGGACGGCAGTCACTTCGACTCCTCGTCTCGCCGCTGGGATCGACGAGTGGAGTCCGAACGGCATGGTGAGTTGCGGAACATTTTCATGCAAAAAATCGTGTTTATTCATTATTGAACTTCCTTTTTTAGATGACTACCAAGAACTTCTTGTTGGGAACTCTCGAGTTGTTTGAGGCGGAAGCTTCAGTCTCGCACTCAGAAACCCAGAACGCCCCGCTCAATGAAAAGGTTGGTTTTATAAAAGAAAATCGAGTGATGAAAAAAGCTCAGAAAAAGTTCCTTACTAAGGCGCGTGTAGTTTTTGAGAACGTTTAAAAAAGCTTTCGAGGTAAAATTTCAACTGCTTATTTCAGAAGAAAATTAAGTCGCGCATAAACCTCGGAGAGATCGTGGTGTCTGGACAAAGTCCAGTACGTCTTGTGTCTGAGAAGCCAGAGAATTTTGTAAGTTTTTATTTCTTCACTATCAGCGGACGAAACGAGTTTCAGACTGCTCAGTCAATTGTCGTCCCATTCACTACTCTCAACAGTCCGCGTTTCATTGTCAGTCCTATTTCCTTCGACGGCCCGGTCACTGAACATTCCGATCTGAGCGTGAGTTTTGACAAAGAAACAGAGAATGATTGCAGAAAAAAAGTACGGAAATTTTTTCGCTCGTAAGCTCTTTAAATAAGATTTCCGTGGAGGTATTTATATTAATCGCTTGATTTAAATGGAAAATGCACACCTTACTTTTGTTTCTGTCTTTCCATTATGTCTTCCACGGAATGTTGAAGAAAGTGATCAGAAATATCTAAGAAGAACAGAAAAAGTTTTCTGTTACAACCAGCAAACCCAAAAAAGAAAATTTATAATCAGTCATTTTTCAGAACTCCATCCCGTCTTGTTCGACCAGCCCCCCCGTCCTCCCCCCAGCCGAATCTGAAATATTTAGCAACATCACAATTACACGCGGTCGTCAAACGGTGAGTTGAAAGAGATTCGATTTCAAAACCAAATCAAGAAAAAGCACGAATCAAAATCAAGTTATTATTTTGCAGCGTCCTTTTGAGGACGAAACTTATGTCAATACAGAAGAATACTTCACTCCCATGTTTCGCCGCAATCGTCCACTTGGCCAAAAGGTGAGTAAATGAACTTGGAGTCGTGGTGAATATTAAAATGAAATAGAACACTCCTCCGTTAGTCGAATCTTTCAAGTACTACGAAAAATAAAGACGAATGATTTCCTTGCAGGTGAGGATCTCTCCGCCTGACGCCGCTTTGTTCCATCGAGCGGGCTATAATCCAGTGGATACCATTTACCGAAACCAAGTTTGAATTTCTCTCGTAAACTGACAGCAGAATCTTTTTTCAGAACTTTAATAACCGACAGAAACGCGAGTACGCCAAGCAGATGATCCTGCAGAAAGCTCGCGAAAGTCGCGCTGATCAAAAATCTTTCGTCACTCAAATGAACGAAAAGGTGAGTCAAAACAACTTGTGAAACTGGGAAAAGAAATTAAAACATATTTTGCAAAACTTGAAAAAGAGTGGAGAATTTCGAAAATTCATTTCAACAGACGGAAAAATCGCTTGATATTCACTCGAAATGAGAAATGCCGATGTCAGAGGTTTCGATACTTGTCTCCCACAAAAACATATTTTTGTCAGGGGTTTCTGTTTTTCCGTTCGAAACTCTTATAAAAGCTTTAAAAAAAAAAGGTCTCAACTAAACTTTCGAAGAGCCTCACAGTAGGTTGAAAAGAAAACTCTGATTTTGAAACAAAGAAGTGAAATCGAAAATCGGAAAGAGATTGACAAAATTGATGGATAAAATTCGAAAGCTTCACAGAGGTCATTACTTGAGAGATTTTGAATTTGAAAGTTCAAACTTGAATATTAGAAAAGCACAGAAATGGTCAAATTTGAACGGTCGTTTTTCTGGGAAAAATGACATTCTAGTGAGTATAACAACATTAGTAAATGAGGTACTTAATCGATTATTGTTAGAAATGAGGCTGAAACATAGAAAATGAGCTTCTTTAAACCTGAACAACCTAAATTCACCTTATTTATAACGGAATGTCTTGTTTCCAATGAGTTAGAATTGAGTTTACTATTTAAAATCGGAAAAGAAAAGAAAAGTTAATTGTACATACTTTTTTGAATAAATATGTTGAATTTCTCATTTTTCAGTTCAAAACACTGATGTCGGAGGCGATTTGCGAAGCCACGGAAGACAGCTGCGAGCCCCAAGAAGCTCAGAGCAACTAATCCTGTCAAATGAAGTGTTAAAAATTCAACACTTGTCGCGTTTTTTTTTTGTCTACTTGTACTGTTTTTTTAAAATGAAACTTGCGTCTTTTTGAAAAAAATTTGATGAACTAAATACGTTTATGCGTATTTCATATCTTTGTTTTCAAAACTTCTGAACGGATCGTCCTGAAGATTTTTTCAGAACATTTAGTCGTCGACATCGAGATAACTCTTTCCAGGAAGAAGGTCGGTTCTGAATGGAACCAATTGAAAATTTTTTGTAATGCAGGTATCCTTTTTTTGAAAATAGTTGATTCTGAATGCGGAAAGCTTTGAAATGATATTTTTTTCACCCGTTGTTGGTTTTACCTCATCGAGAGCATTTTTTCACAACAAATTCTTACAGGATTAGGCTAAAAAGTGGCCGAATGTCAAGCAGAATGTAATTAAAACTTCGGAACACAAGACTAAATAATATAGAGACACTTGAAAAATGTTTTTCCCTTAATTTCCTGTCATTAGTCCACAAAGCCAATTTCGTGTAAAGATATCGATTTCAATATTTTTTTGCTTTTTCATTATTTTTCTCCGTAACGCGTACAATGTTGTTTGAAAACTTTGTGCTACAATTGGTTTTTCTCAGAAAATTTTGCCGACGACCAATTTTTGGGGAAACTCTACTTCAACATGTATCTGTCTTCTCCAGTAAAATCAGGTATCATTTTCTATTGAAACTACATTTTTTTATCTTGAAAAAGAAGGTTTACACAAATGGTCGAAGCTAAAAATAATCGAACCCGGAATTCTTTTTTTGGCGACGTTCGATTTTTTTATTTGAATATCATTATTTTTCAAACATTTTTCTTGTCTCTTTTCCAGAAAAAAACGGATTGAAAAAAAATGTCAGAGCGAAAGTTTTTTACATTTTATAAAAACCTCTTCAAGAAATACAAGTGAAGTGACAACAGGAAAATTATCATTTGAAAAGGAGAATTAGTTTGAAAAATTGCTTTTGATGATACAGACAGCCTATAAAAAAACAAGAAATTTTTCTTCAGAATTTCTCTTGAAAGATAATCGGGCGACAAAGTTTTCAGAAGAAAAACTTCGACCTTGCACGACTACATCGATAAATCGGACGTGGGCGGTGTCGTGAGTTTTTCTCATCAAAGAGTAGGAGAGTAAAAGTGTTAACAGACGGGAATAAGAAAGTTTGAAAAAAGAGAAAAAGCTTTTTATTAGGAATGTAAACGGCATTCCGGATGAAAGTCCCAGGCAAGTCCAAACCAATTATGGAGAGTTTTCGTGACTGGGAAAATTTCTAAAAGAGAAAAAAACCTTTTAAGGCCTGAAAGGGTAAAAAATGTCCTCTTTTGCAATATTTTTGGGAAACAGGCCATCCCGTTCCTCGTTAATTGTCGGAGATTCCTGTGGAATCAGTTCCAAGACAAAACTATCAATTGTTTGCTCACGCAACTCATCTGGAACTCAGTGAAAAAACTGTTGAATATTCTGCAATCCCGAGAGAAAAAAGTCTTTTCATATGATTTTTCTTTTCACAAATCGTTTTGGATTTAACTGACTGAATCGAAAATGGCAAAATAGTAACCGTTTCACGGAAGTCTACATAGAAATCCTCTTATTTATTACATAACTCGGCAATTGCGGCAAAAGGCGACTTTTCAGTAGATTTTTCATGTTTTGAGTTGATTCTAATTGTACCTATGTTCAGAAAAAAGACTTGTTAGACAATTCATGCTTTCGAAATAAAATTGATCTCTATTATGAAAGATCTAGTCTGTCGAACACAAAAAATTGAGCGTCGAAAACTGACCACTGTGGCTCCTGAGTCGTTGCGGGAACCTTTAGCCGGCGAATAATACAATTTTTTTGTTTGTTATTTTTTTCTCTACATTCAGAAAAAAAGTAATAGACATGAATCAAACATAAGAATATTAGTTTTTCATAAGTCTTAGCGATTTCTACGTGGAAACGGTAAGCGGCGGATGAAATTCCGCATACACCGATTAGGAAGATTGCAGACAGCCGCTCTTCCTCTGCTCTCGTTGCGCTCATTTTTTTCACTCTTATTTTTTTCGTTTTTTGTCTTTTTTTGTTTTTTTGATTTTTTTGTTTCAAAAACATACCCAGGTACTGTTTGGAACGTGGTTCACTGTATTTTTCAATAGAAAGGCGTTTCAAATGAGGCGAATGATGCAAAAAAACGTGCCATTTTTCGATGTTTTTTTGCTCTTTTCTGAGTAGATTTTTGCTTCTAACGTTGACCAAGTTGTTCAGTAAGCAACACACAAAGTATTACAAATACCTTTAAATGGTTTTTTTAAGTGTAAATACAGAAACTCGATTGTTCTGGCATTGGAAAGTAAAAAATAGATTTAGAGCCATTTCAAATTTCAAAGTTTTCGAATCAACCTGTGTTATAGCAACGAAATATTCCAGCTACATCTTTCATTATAAAGATATCAAGCCCGTTTTTAAGAAGAACGATATTTCGGCTAATACTCGATAATAATCCGAATATTTGTAGCAGTTTGAAGCAATTTTCCGTTTTACCCAGTCACGCAGGGATTTTAGGCCGGGAAAAAAGACGATAATTTGAAACAGTGAAAATTTATATAATAATTCGTAATTTCATGCTTCAACCTTCAAAATAATTTTTTCAGTAGAGTCTTCTCGAAAAATTGAGAACTTTTTAAAAAAAATTGAGATTGTCGAATATTTTTACATGAATTAGCTTTTTTTCTTTAGTCAAAAAAATTTTTTTATCTCGATTGACATCCTTATTTCAAATAAGTACAGTAACTCGATCTTTGATTCTTGCAAGTCCAAAGATCTTTTTTCTGTTGAGGTCATATCTCGGCCTTCATTATGGACTCTCTCTAATTTACAATCAGTTGTAAAAGAAAAAAGTCACACCAAGGCTCTTTTTTTGGGTCACAGCTGCGAGCCAAGTGAGAGATGGCACCAAAGAGCAAATAGAAGACGTAAAACGAGTTTAGAAGATGTTTCAAACTTTAGGTCTATTTTTGTAGTCTTTCTTTCGACTGTCTTTTTTGAGAATTTGGAAAAACAAGGAAAACATGCTTCTTTGGCCCTTTGCAGTAATATTATCTTTCCATTTCTAGAAGATTGGTTTTTTTTATAGGTGTTTCTTTTTTGTAAAATTATCGATTTTGTTCAAAATAAAGCTTCGAAATTTGTACGTAACTTTTTGGATCATCTTCGGCTGTATAGATTTTTGATTTTTATATGTGAAATTTCTTCTTGATTCCGTAGGTATTATGATAATTTAACATGACTAAGTAGGAGTTCGTATCAAAAATTCATTTCTAATACTCAAAAAGTTATCACAAGCAAGCGTGAACGCGTTACAAAAAGATCTAAGAATTTCCAACTATTTTACTAAACCCATTTATTGGATTCTTAATTATTTTAAGGTCTATTTCAAAGACTTCGAACTATTGAAACGACTGATTTTCATCTTTCCCGAATTCATTTTGTTGGAAACTCTACAACTTCGATATCTTTCCTCATATACTTTTTCGTTTTCCGATATACTTGAGAAAAAAATTCTAAAGAAGAATAATATCCCTATTTTTTCGTGTAATTTTGCCTCAGTGACATCTCTCGACTTTTTTTAGAACTCTTTATTTGAAATCTTATTGGCTTTCTTTGTTACAAACTTATTGCCTTTTTCGAATTTTCGATCCAGGCAAAAGTAAGGCTTGGAAATGTAGGAATATTTGTTTTTGTTATGAATCGCTCCAAAATCTCCTTTCCATGCGATAGTGGGCGTGTCGGGAGAGTGTGACCCAAGCCAAAAATGTAGGCGTGTCTTTACGGTCTTCATTCTGTTGTCGAAACTCTGTCCCTAGCGGTCGGTCCGAGTTGGGCTCTCCAGCCTTTCCAGGGCGGGGAAGACCGACTTCCGCCATGACGGACTGTTGTTTCTTAGCTTTTTCTGTGCTGTTCATTTTCTTGGCAGACCGTTCTCGCGCTCTTTTTTTCACATTTTTCGAAGTTTCCAACTTTTTTTCTCTTTTTTTCAACTCGAGCACAAGTATTAGGAAAAAAATTTAATTATTTCATTTTGCATAAATTCAAACTCTGTAGAATTCTATCCCTCTACGGCTTTCTTTTTTTATTTCTTTTTCTGGTGTTCAAAAATGGTTTTCAGCCATAAATTGAATTGCGAAGGCCTTTCAGTTCCTATTTCATTGAACATTGCTCAAAAGATACAAAATATACTTTTCTCTAACTTTTATTGTGAAAAAAGCTCTCAATCTTCGATTCCTTTTTCTCAGTTGATCACTTTTCCAAAGCGCTTTGCAAAATAGAATTGAGAAGCTTCAAGCCTTGTCACTAGATTCATTTCTAGACTTTTCATATGAAATTTTGAACTAAACCATATATTTCGAATTCCAGAAGTAACAATAGCTTGAAATTACTGTATCTCTACTTTTTTTGAGTCCAAAGATCGTCTCTCTGTTGAGGACATATCTCAGCCTTCATTTTGGACTCTCTCTAATTTACAATCAGTTGTAAAAGAAAAAAGTCACACCAAGGCTCTTTTTTTGGGTCACAGCTGCGAGCCAAGTGTGACATGGCACCAAAGCGCAAATAGAAGACGTAAAACGAGTTTAGAAGATGTTTCAAGTTATAGGTCTATTATTATAGTCTTTCTTTTGATTATCCCTTGAGAGCAACATGAAAAAAAAGATTTTTGTTTTCTCGATTTTCGCGATATTTTTGACTTTGAACTTGTTTTTTCTAGAAAATCAGTAATAATAGGCGAAATTGAGTTTAAAAAGCCTTTTTTTGACCTTGGAGCTCCAGTTTTTGTTAAAAGAGCGTACTGTAGCGCGCATTTGTCTGTGTCGCACTTGCTCATATTACCAATTTTTCGCGGGGCTGCGTCTCTCAGGCGAGAGAACGACAGTTTTTTTCGAAAGTCGCATTTATTTCGCTTCAAACTTCATTTTGTTACTTGTTTCATTGCTTCTCATCGTTTTTTTATCTTCTTTTTTTCTTTTTTTCTGAAACAAAAAAAGTTGTAAAAAAAGTTTTATCTTAAATACTAAAAAGTTTCATATGAAATTTTTGATTCATACCGGGAAAAAAAGGCTTTCGTGGAATTAAATGTTTAAAACATAATTAAACTATATTATAAAAAAACTAGTCTTAAAAAAATGTTGACCACAAAAAAATTAAGCGTCGAAAAACTGACCACTGTGATTCCTGAGTCGTTGCGGGAACCTTTCGCCGGCGAATAATACAATTTTTTTCTTATTTGTTATTTTTTTCCTACATTCAGAAAAAGTAATAGACATGAATCTAACATAAGAATATTAGTTTTCATGAGTCTCAGCGATTTCTACGTGGAAACGGTAAGCGGCGGATGAAATTCCGCATACACCGATTAGGAAGATTGCAGACAGCCGCTCTTCCTCTGCTCTCGTTGCGCTCATTTTCCACTTTTATTTTCTCGTTTTTTTTCTTTTTTGTTTCTGACTTTTTTTTCAAAACATACTCACGTCTTGTTTTGAACGTTGTTCAATGTATTTTCTGTCTTAAGGCGTTCCAAATGAGGCGAATGTTGCAAAAACGTGTCATATCCGATGTTTTTTGCTGTTTTCTGGTAGATTTTGCTTCTAACGTTGACCAAGTTGTCTTATAAGCAACACACGAAATAATATAAGTACTTTTTGAACTGTTTCCTACGTTTAAATACAAAAAAACTCGAATGTTTTTTTGCATCGAAAACTAAAAATTTCTTGGTTTTATATATCGTCGTGAAAAAAAGTGTGAAAATCGACTTGCCAACCATTTTTCTCTTTTGTTCAATTTAATTTCAAGAAACTTTCGAAGCTTTTTTTGTTCTGAATCTTGCCGAATTTCTTTTTTTAATATTGGTTCAAAGTATTTTTCTGTTCAAAAGTGTTTTAAACGAGACAAATGATGCGAAATAGCGTTTTTTCCGCGGTTTTTTCCGCTTTTTTTTTCGCTTTTTTTTGCTTTCAAAGCTATCCAAGTTTTTTAATAAGCATTATTCAAAGAAATTGAAGTAACTCCCAAACAAAATTCCGTTGAATGTTTTTGAAACGCGATTTTTTTGAATGAAAAACTGGGAAAACTTGGTTAGTTCGTTGTTTTTCCGTTATTAAAGTGTCGCAAAATTTTTCAACTTGTGAATTTCAATGCCTTCTCGGTTTCGTTATTACGCTCGCGATTCTTCTCTTAAACCATTTCTCAAAAAGTAACTCGAAAGATTCCAGACACAGTGATGAGCGACAACTCTCGTGCTGCATCCCCGGCTAAGAAGGACACCGTTCCCGGTACGTATGCTTCCGCAGTTGGCAACGACGGAACGGCGACTCTTCCGACTTCCCGCATCGAAAACGGTCAGTTTAGAACTTCGATTTCACTCTCAGATGACTCTAAAGAACAGTCTATGTGAAGAAGAGTCGGTAGCTTCTCACAGAAATATTCCTTTTATATTCACTTCTACAGTCTTCACGTCTCGTAATTTATTACGATGACTTGAAAGTGACATTTCACAAGAAACTTTTAATTACAGTGTCGGACGTCCACGACTACGACCGCCAGTTCCCGGCTTTGCCAACTTCTGATCAACGTCCACCCACGGCAACTTCTCGTCCATGCCGCGGTGAGTTATGAAGAAATTGGAAGACGTGCCTCAAATTATTGTTAGAATAGCTGTTTTTTTCTTGATTGAGAACGATTTTCCCTACAAATCTTCATTTAAACCTTGATTTTCCAGGTCCCATGCTTCGTACGACAAGTCCACCGTTAACATGGGGAACCACGGGACCTCGGCAGGGATCACTCCGACGACGTCAGCTTAACGGAGGTTTGAACTCGTTCAAAAACAGATTGGAATCAAAACTAATCTGAAGACATTTACTCGCGAAAACAAATGAATATTGCATTCAATTTGAGTTTTTTCCGACTTAGACGTGAAAGTTATCCGAATTGAAAATGACTCAAAAGTTCGAAATAGTTCAACTCAGTTCTTTTTCCTGCTGAATGGAAACTTTCAATCAACCTGATTTTTCATTGATCTCAGACCCAATAAAAACCTTTTTTCAGCATCCGCTGCCCTCAACGTCCACCCGGCAGATCTTCGTCCTGTTGGCAATTCCGTCGTTGAGCCGCTCGAGACCTGCCAAGATCGTGTTGTCGACTCAGAACAAAACCGGAGATCAGGAAGGTGACGGTTTGGCTGGAACACCTGCCGACGTCTTCCAAAGGCGCCGGCAGGCCCAGCCATCCGTCCACAATCACTCTCGGTAGGTTACTCGGAAGTTTACTCAAAAATTCACTGGAATAACTGAGAATCTATTTATTCTCTGAGCACTTCTTCTCGGTTTTTTTTTTCCCGTTAGGGTAAATGTCAAATTCAAAAAAAACATTGACTTTTTGAGTTCTGCACCAAGTCTCCCCACAGCTTCATTCTTGAATAGATGAAACTTTTTAGGCACAATCTCACACTTGGCAATAATTAAACCCTCGACATCCTCACCCACAACATCCGCGACAACCGAAAATAGAGGTAAGAATACATTTTTCTTTCATTTTTACCGTTTCAAATAAACTCATAGAGTTTGATAACTTTTTTTGAAAAATATAATTATTCAAGACGACGAACTATTTTTCAGAAACTTTATTCATCGGATATTTTTTTAGATGTCGAGAATTTGTCGTTTTTCCGTAAATGTCGCTTCATCTTCCGGAGGAAAAGTCGAAAGCCCGAATGAATATGGAAAAAAAGCGCCGTAGACTCCAACATGAATAACAGTGAGTGGAATTTTTCGAAGTAAATATTTTTCTTGTTTTAACAGAATGACCGTTTTTTTCTAGAAAAAGGCATTTGAAAAAGTCGCCCAATTACCTAATACAGAATATCGTATAACTAATAAAACTTTTTCAGGAGCCGAGCAGATTTCCGAAACTCTGTCTTCCCGTGGAGTCGACGTCAGAGACCCTTCAGCCTCAGAATCTCTTCTGAATTCGTCAGCAAATCTACTTTCACGCGCTAAACCTTTTTCCACACGGCCACGGTTTGCGACACGCTTCCGTCACAGTGAGTTTTCGACGTTTCTAGAAAGTATAAACATAAACTGGAACACTTATGCGAATTTCCATGATGGCCTTCTTCTAAACCCCTTTTTTTGAGTATTTCTTTCGATGTCATCGAAAGAAAAAGCGGTCTGAAATCCATCTCAACATAAAGGAAATTCAAGAAAAAAATCAAGAATTTTTCTCAAAGAAACATTTTTTTCCAGACTCAAGATCGACGTCTGTTCCGGCCAATAATTTCCGGACTCCCAACGTCGATTTGAATGCTACTGTTCGCCCCATCGGCTCCCGGAACTTTTTTTCGGTGAGATCTTGGGATTTTATTCTCTTTGTGATTCTTTTTCGGAAACTCTGCCATGTGAAGTGGATCTTTCTTTCAACCGAATTTTTGCAGGAAACGATTCGGTTCTTGACGTTAGCGTCAGGGGGCGCCAAGGCAGATTCGGATGGTCGACCTAAGTCTACTCAAAATGGTGACGCGCTGAATTCGCTGTTCAAGTCTTTCGCGCAAGGTTAGTCCGAAACAGTTTTCACAGTACCGTCCAATTTGAACATTCGTCTAGTCAGAAAAAAAGCGGAATTTCATGATTTCACATTGTTCTTTCAGAACCGTCGTTTCACCCATCGATTCCTGGTCAGGGAAAAATCGGCCGTTCCTGGTGCCAGAACTGCGATTGTTGCCACTAAAAATAGGTACCGAAACAATTTTTCCCACTTTCCCGATATTAGTTTTTTTGGATGATTTTTTTCTAATTCTCACAAATAAAACAACGGAAAATAGAACCTAACTGATGAAATTTCAGATTTGCACATGGTGCGTCAGCGGAAACAGAAGGATACAAGGTTGGGCTTCTGATTATATTTGTCAAAAAAAGTGTCTTTTTTTCGAAGACTTTTTGCATTTCACGTGAAACAACTTACTTGATTTTTTTCAGAACTTGAAGATCTCGCTATCCAGACGAAAAGGAAAAACCAAGAGCCGGCGGTTGCTGAGAAACCGTCACAAGTTGCAAATGGTTAGTTTTCAAAACTTCCGCGTATTTCGGTAGAGATACTTTGCACAAGAGATACCCTCTTTTTTGGAAATAAGTCCCAATCGACAGCAATGACATTTCATTGAAACTGAAGTATACTTTACAGGAGTCGGTTACACAGAATCCTCTCAAGTAGAAGTTGTTCCTGTCTCCGTCTCTCAGTCTCTGGACTCTGTTGACCTGGATGTTACCCAAGTCAACACGTCGGAAGAGCCTTCCAGTCCGCTCCGTGACGAGAACAGAGGTTTGAAAACTTTTTAACGTTGAAAAAAAATTGCTCAGTCTTAGTATTGTTGAAATATTCTTCATAAAAGTTATTTGTCATTTTATTATCATTAGTAAGCTCATCAATAATCTTTTTGGGGAAAAAATCTAAATGAAGATTTTCTCATCTTCAAACTCTGTTGAGCAATAAAACTGTTAGTAGAAACGGGAATAAACCGAAGTTTAAGCAGATTTTTGTTTTTCAGGGTCCGCCGCATCTCCTTTCACGCCTTCACCAGATCTGATCACGGTTGTCGAAAGAGTTCCGCGTCCGACGACAGGTTTGTAACGGAAAAATATTCAAACTCTTCTCTCAACTTTTTGAGAACTTGCTGGAATTTATACCAGACCTAAATATGACTTTAAATAAAGAAAAACATTGAAACTCTTTGTGAAAAAAACGAACGTAAGAAAAATTGAGATTTTGATGTAGAACTTCCCAGCTTTAAAAAATAAAAAAACTGGTCATGGAACTGGAACAATTTGAAAATGATCATTTTCTTCCAGGGTGTGCCGAGATCAGTCGCGAAGCTGAGGACAGTTTCAGAACTTCACGATCGGCAAGGAATTCGTCTCCCGTCGATCCGATCATCAGGGTCGAGGTCTGAAATTAAAAGCTTCGTTCAAAAAAAAAAGAAAGACTGAAAAAAAAAAAACTTTATCGATCAAAATTTTTTTCGACGAAAGTTAGAGTAAGAAAAAAAGCCATAGAAATAACCTGAATTAGAAGTTCTCCTTGTCGTTTTCTTTGATGAGAACTATCACGATGCATTCCTTCCACTCAATAGAAAACAGTCTGTACATTTTCAGATGACTTCAACATTTCCTTCTCGGCAATTTTTGGCTCAAGACGACATTTCTGCGGAGACACCTCTCGCCTTGACCACAGGTATCCATTTGATTTTTCTGTCAAGAGTACAATTTTTTTATTGGGTAAAACCGTTTCGAAATTGAAAAAAATAAGAACTTAGAAGTTGATAATCTGTTAGAGAACTGCGAAAAATGTAAAAAAAGTTATAAAACTGATGAAAATTTCATTCCAGGAGTTGCTGAAGATCACACGCCTGTAGGAACTCAGAAGGAAATGATTTTGGACGTGAACGGAAACATCACAAGACGATCGGCTCATCGGGACGCAGGTTTGATTTGAAACAATTTGTAAAATTTTCAAAGTTAGAAAGGCAAAAACGACCTTATCAGGAATCTTTTCATAAGTTTCAGAAAGGAAAACAGTTTAAATGACATCTCCAGGAAGACAATTCTTAAATCGATTTTCAGAATCTCTGACCGCGTCTGGCTTCAGTTTTGCTGACTTTCTCTCCACTGAACCGACTGACCAGTCCGAAGTCCAAGAAGCCAATGAATTATCCGCAGAATCGGCCTCTCCTTCAGGTAGAAATTCAACTCTCAAGTTCAAAAAGATCTAGAAGATTCCGGAAATCATTCATTCAGCTAATTTTGCAGCTTCGAACCCACCAGCCGACTACGTTCAGCGCCAGCGCGAGTTTCTACTCCAAAATCGGTACAACATCACTCGTGGTCGTGGTTAGTTTTGCTCAAGAAATTTGTAGAGCGCAGGATTTCGAAAATTAAGTTTCTCGAATAATTCAAAACTAATAATCATCGATTTAACAATCTTTCATGAAAAGGGTTCAGTGTGAAGTTTGTAGAATTTCCGAAAAAATCCGAAGAAAAACGTTCCTTCGAACCACTGCTCAATAGATTCTCGATTATCGACACAAATTTGAAGTCTATTTTCAATTTCCAACAGAATTTCAAATATTTTGCTTTCCTAGTTACATTCAGTTTGAACTGGGATATTAAACAAGACAAAAAAATCGATAAATGAAACGGAGTTTTTCAGGATTTGGCGAGCGCCTTGACAACACGACGGACGATGCTGAGATTGACGTCAGGGACCAGGAGAACCATGTTTCGAACAGTCAGAAGCAGGATTAGCTCTTACTCTCATTTACTTGTGATTTCTTGATATTTTCTCCGTTTACTTGTCCAAAATCCATTTCGTCAACGTCTTTTCCAACAATTTGGATCTTTCGCCTTTTCACTCCGAAGTTTTCCATTGCCAGCTTTTTTGGATTTTCTTTCCATTCAACTTTTTTGTCGTCTACATTATTGTCGTGCAACATTTTTTCGTCTCAATAAAAACTTTCGTCTCCTCATGAATATTGAGTTACACAAAAAAAGGAGCAGGAAGTAAAATATATATACAAATGTATTTTTCGACGGAAGATTCAAAACTTTCAAGGATAAAACTCGTTTTCTACGGTACATCATTTTCAAGAAAAATCAAAGTATTGTTCAAGAGTTTCTTGACGGCAAAATGCTAAATTTCGAGCGAAAAAGGAAGTTATTTTTAGGTTTCACGGAAAAAGATACCGTTTTGCAGTTTTCTTAGTGACTTTTTCAGGCTGTTTCTCCAAAGAAACGATCGAAATCAGCCTAATTTCCCGCTTTTTCGATTCAACATCGCTTTTTCCGAAGTTTTTTCACTTCTTGTTCGCATTTGGAAGAAATCCCATAGTTCATGGCAGCCACCGACGTTACGAGAAGTTCAGTGTCCGAAGACTCCCAAGAAAAACGACTGCATTTTGATGAAATATCTCTTTTTTTCGACATTTCTTTTTTTTCGTTGTCGTTTTGCAATGTTTCTTTCATTTGTAGTAACTCAAAACGCAACTAAAGAAAAAATTTACGATCCAATGTTCTTGCCAAGAAAAAAGATAAAACAGTTACGATAAAAAGAAATATTGGCACGCGGTAAATATTGGCACGAATGAATAGTACACATGGAATGCCAAGTTGATAAATAAGTTGGACGCATCGGAGATAAAAAAGGCCAGAAAATTTTGAAATGGAGACATTGAAAAAAAAGAAGGACCGCCTGAAAAGAAAAATTTAGATGAAACAATTGTGGAACTATACATAATTCTTGGGATGGGCCTCCTCGGGATCGAGCCGATGCGTCCAAACAACAGTAATTATTATCAACCAGCCAATTAAGTAAATTATAAAATTATCATTTATCATGACTAAAAAAGAGAAAAACTTAGTGAAATCATGAATTCAAGAACTTGCTAACATTCAGGTTACCCATCACCGAATATGTTAATTTCCCTAGTGCGAAAAAAAAAGATTTCTGATTTGAGCTGAGTAAATGAATAGATTCCTTAATACATTTGTCTTCCATTCAACTTTTTTGTCGACTTTATTTCTTCATGCAACATTTTTTGGTCTTAATAAAAGCTTTCGTCTCCTAGTGAAAATTGAACAACCTGGCGTTATTTGAACCGACTTGTCTCCCCAAAAAATTTTTACATGAGGTTTTCTGATAGCCTCAAAATGTGATCATAGTTCAGACACGTGCTTCTGATTATTTAGCACTAGGTTCCGAGTAGCTCCGCCCCTTTTAAAAATACTGTAGACAGTAAGCTGAAAAAATTTAAATTTTATCCTGTTGAGAATTTTCATTCAAAAATGCTTGGAAATGTAAGAAAACACTATTTTGAGTAATTTTTCAGTTGCAACTTTTTTTCTAACTTGACTTCTTCGGGGAGAAAAAAATCGATATTTCCTCAAAAACGGCAATATAGTTGACCTCCATTCAACCGAAGGTGATCAACTTGCATCGGCTCGAAATTCAAAAAATCATTTTTCTCCTAATCTGTGTTTAAAACTCTCGAAAAAGTTGATTAAAAAGCTTTTTTCGCCATTTCTTCACTCCGATCTCACTTTCTTAGGCGTTCAAATAAATTGAAACATTCGCTGGGTTTCTCTAAAATCTTTTTAAACAGTTTTCCTGGTTACTTCAGCAACTTAGAGCAGGTAAAAACGGTGAAAACGAAGAAAAACGTGCAAAGCCTGAAATTTGGATAAAACTACTTATTTTTTGCTGAAAAAGGTTCCGATTCTTGTCGAAAATCGATGTAGCTTTCCCTTGAAAAGCATTTTGTGAGAATGGAAACAAAAAAAGTTGTTTTCCGAGCCTTGGTCAAAATTCCAGGCGGTCGGAGGTCAACTGGGCCACCCCAGAGATTTTTACCGGACTAATTTTTCCTTATCCAGAAAGACCTACTCTTCCATAGACCAAAAGATAATGACCACATTCGGGGGTTCCTACAGAAAAAAACTACCTGAAAACGGAAAAAATCGAAAATCGACGAAAGTCCTAAAATTCGAAAAGTCTCGAGAAACTCGGAATAAAAATTTCTTTGAGCACCAAAATGGTGGAGAACATGAACGTGAGTGTTGTCTTTTGTTTCAAAACAAATAAAGAGAAAGAAGCCGTCCAATTAGTAGAAAAATGATTTTTTGAATTTTGAGCCGATTCAAGTTGATCACCTTCGGTCGAATGGAGGTCAAATATCCCACCCCAGGGATTTGTTGTAGAACTATTTTTTCTTGAAGAAGAAGGCCCCTAGTTTCATAATAAGAATTAAAAGTCGTACCATAGGCGGGTTCTTACTCTAGTTATTGCTCAAAAATTGAAAAAATCGCTGTTTTTGAGGAAATTTCGATTTTTTTCTCCCCGAAGAAGTCGAGTTAGAAAAAAAGTTGCAACTGAAAAAATACTCAAAATAGTGTTTTCTTACATTTCCAAGCATTTTTGAATGAAAATTCTCAACAGGAAAAAAGTCAATTTTTTTCAGCTTACTGTCTACAGTATCTTTTAAAAAGGGGCGGAGACACTAGGAACTTAGTTTTAAATAATCAGAAGCACGTGTATGAACTGTGATCACATTTTGAAACAAAGCGAAAAAAAATTTTATTTATTTTGCTTTCTATTACTGAAAAGTCATCGATTTTCTCAGAGAACGTGTGTTAACCCGTCTGGATTTGAATAGTTCAAATTAGGGAAAAACCTGAAAAAGCTCGAAATTTTCAGAAAAGTTCTTTAAATTCACCCTCGGACTTCTGAATTTTGAAGTTTCCATGTGATAATCAGTGGCTCCAGGTCACACTTTGAGAAGCGATTCTAGCACTCAAAAGTTGAAAAAATTAGGTTTTTGACAAAAAGGGGGAAAAATTCGGAAGTTCGGAATATTAAATTTTTTTTTGAACCTGAAAGTTGGATCAGTTACTGAAAAAGCGTGAGTTAAAAAAATTTCTCTAAAATTTAGAAACAGAATGATAGGATTTCAGCGATTTTTTTAAATTTTTTTCGATTTCGAGGTGGTCAGCTTCGGCCGCAAAATGACATACTGGGACCATCAAAAGATCAGCTCGAAAACATTTTTTGATTACTTAGTGGTAGATGTAGTTCATAAAAAAAGGTACACTTCATGTATAACCTCGTACAGTTTTTCAGAAGATAAGTAATAGCAAAAATAGGGAAAAAAAACACAAATCGGAAAATCCAGAAAAATAGGCAAACTTTTTTTAGAAGGATTCTAAAGATACTAATATAAAATATGAAGTAACACCAGATAATTTCAAAAACAACTCACTTTACCTAAAATTCCTTCTTTGAAAAAAGTCAGAGATTTCGGAAAGTTAGGCCAACTTCGAGTTGGCTGCGTTCAACGAGTTGGAGGTCAACGGGATCACCCGAATTTGGAAGTTGTGGTTATTTTTTCCTAGCACAAAAAAAAACCCAACGCACCGATTGAGCAAATAAAATTTCACTGTCAATTGGGCTCTTCTTGTCGAAAAACCGCAAAATTAAAAAAAAGCCCAATTTCGACCACTTTTTTTTTGGCATTTCCCCTACCATACCTCTAAAAAGGGGCGGAGCTTCTCAAAAGCCTATTAAAAATTCTCAGGACCTTGTGTAGTTGTTGCGACCATAATACGAGCTCAGAAAACTCAATATGAAATTTCGGTATAGTCGATGTGCCACGACTTGCAATTTCATGGAACGACGCTCCGCTGTTCTTGTGCGCGCTGTCGCGAAGCGTCTCGCTTTTGCGAAACTCGGTCGCTTAATAAATTTTTTTCTTTTTATTTTTTTGTTTTTTTCATCATAATATTTTTTTATTATTATTTTTTTGTTTGGCACGAAAAAAACAAACAAATATAATTTAAATAGTGAAAATTGAAAAATTAAAAAAAATTTTTCTTTTTCTCATTTTTTTCGAAAAGTTTTTTTAACACAAAAAAAGTGAGAAAAAAAGTGAAATATTTTTTTCTTCTTCTCACAACAGACTTTTTTTCAGGCAAATGTCTGGAAGCCGATTAGATCGGAGAACAGTCAATTTTTTTCTAACGTCAAAAGAAGGAAGCAGACTATATTGCCATGGTTTGCGAAAAGTTTGTACCGCAAGTCGATCGGCCCTCGTAAACGTGCGAGTGTTCCTTCTGAGAGGTTAGATGAAATATGAACTGCACGGAAAGTTAAAATAAAAACTCAGATTTGATTTAAAAAAAACGTCTATTGACATCTTCATTGGATATTGTCAATCTCAAGCACGAACAAACCATCATAACTGACGGAAGGACCTGCTGCCGTCCGAAGAAACAGACAATTAACGCATTTTTGCTATCATAGTAATTAATCTTCTATCTCAAATACTGCTGCTATTATAAGTCTTGACTTCTCTTTAGTCAATTGTATCTCACGTTTGCGGTGTATATCGATCCTCTTTTTTATTATTATTTTAAAATCTATTAACAAACTTTTTTTAAAAACTAAATTATCAATTATTATTTTTTTATTTTTCAAATTATTATTTTTTTATTTTCAAATGAGGGTATACTTGTTTAAAAAGTTGATAAATAAGTTATCTGATATCACTACATAAAAGAAGATTAAAAAAAGAAGCAAACAGGAGGAAGAAATCCAAAAGCGAAATCCAGGGACTTACCAAAAAATTTTCTATGGAGGGTAAACTTTCGCGTTTACGGTGGGCGAACTATCGCATTTTTCTTCGCCCCAAAAAATCTATCGCGCGCGGTGTATGCAAAGATCAACGCGAGGGTTCGAGAGAGGATCAATCGTGCTGGCTTCTGAGTCGAACGGCGCTCTATGAATCGGCGATTTTGCCCTACGCTTTATTTTTCTTATTCGATTCTGTGTCAGCAAGCCGTTGGGATCCCGATCTTATTGAACTCTATTGTTATAAGCTGCTTGAATCGATGAGAGTGGGCCCAAAAATTGTGTTCATTCCAAATTGTGTCTCATCAAAGTCAATTATTTACATTGGAAGCGAGTGGATCCCAGATTTTCGATCTTTCAGTTTGATTAAGCAAGGTTAGTTTTTTTTCAAACTATTTTGATGTAAGTAAGACAATTTTTTAGTTAATCCGACCGAAGTATCTAAAGCTGCCGTTGAAATCCACTTCTTGGCTGTTTTTCTTTCATTTGGCGACATGCACGAAGATAACTTTGGACTCAATGGAAGCTGCAATCCGATAATCGTGGATTTCATGATGTCTAATTATGGAATTCCGAGAACCAAATTCTTGCACGACGCTAATATTATTCGATCAATCCGAACTCGTGACATATTGAAAGATTTTGATTCTACTGCAAGGCTTCAAATCGCCAAAGATGCTGTACAAGTGGGATTTCATGAACAAGTTGACCGAGGTTCTGGAGATGATGGATAAAGAAAAGGCTGTTTTTGGTCGAAAAAATCTGGACTTTGACAAAAAGACGTTGGAAGATTTCGTCGATGAAGTAAGATCAAACATCCAAAATCTGTTTAGCGAGTGAGTAAGTTGATTTTAGTTTTTTAAAACGATTTTTAAAATTTCCTTTTAGGGATTTTTATGTGACATCGTTTTCTTGTCATTTCCAACGATTGTTCAATTTTCTTGTCATTTTTATTGATCTCCTCTTCATTTTTTGATCGTTTAGTGCTTTAACCGAAACATGATATCTTTAAACTGCATTCAAATGAGACGCAGAATTTGTTTGTTTTAAGAGCGGGTTATGTTTCTATCTCTTTTACAAGTTCTTCGTCTGGTTCTTGGTCCATATTTGTTAAAAGTCTGAGATTTTTGTCAAATTTCATTATTTTTATATGCAGGTGGGGAATGGTTACTGCGACAAACTGAAAGAGCTACCGTTTGCGTAATAAAGACCGCAAACTAACAAAACTTCTGTAAAATCATTTCACAGGTTTTTTATCACAAAAGTTTTCGAAAAAATCTTTCGTAGCATGATCTGCAACTCAAAAACGTAGTGAAACACCCAATTGACTGGGGCACGCAGGTGGTCGAGATCTGTTTTGCCTCAATTTTTGAGCAGAGTGGCCAAAAATTACTTGACAAACTGGTGTTTACCGTTTCAAGGATTACATGAAAAATTTTTAAAAAGTTGGAGTCAATTGGATAACAGAAAAAAAAACCAAGACCTCATTCTTTAAACGGAATCAGAGCACGAAAATTAGCCCTGAGCTAGGCCTATTTCACCTCGTCTCGGTGCTCTGCTCTTTTGAATCAATTTTTTGCTTTTTTTTGTTCTGAAATCACAGACGAGGCACACAACTTTCATATTATCCTGTTTACTGCTCTCTGAAATGACATCATTTGTAACAGGGACTCGAAAAGACGAAGTTTTGCCGTTTCACGAAGTTTTAAGCAAAAACGGCGTTTATCGGATGAAAGAGTAGTAGGATAGCCCAATCATTAATATTTGCGAGAAGGGGAATTGTTACATATAGTTCGGGGTTCTGACTGTTTGAGAAAGCTTTGATGATGAAAATTTTGATTTCTGTGTAAAGAAGGTCCAAACAGCGTTCCAAGTTAGCCACTTGCCTATTTTTCAGAAAAGTTTCTATCAATTTTCTTTTCTAAGCACTTATCGATTTCCGTCAATTGATAGCCTTACATAAATGTTCCAATTTCGAGCATCGAAACCTTGAAAATACAATCAAAATTGAGCCTCATAGCGACCTAATTGATTAATTCCTGATAGGCACGATAGAATTTCTCTCTAGCCACCTTTAGGAGTAATCAAATCAAATCAAATCGTTTATTTTTGTTTTTTTAGTCTGGTGTAATCGACTAGGCGGTAAACAAGAACCTTAAAAGCTAAAACGAACAACCGCCTTTGGTGAGCTAGAAGTCCAAACGTGTAGTCAAAAGAGTTGAAAGCATGGTCTTACGGTCCTTCGCCTCGTCCTTCTGCGCGTAGTCCATCAGGTTGCGCCTTGACGAGCTCAGAATGTAGTGGGTGGTGTAGCTGGAGCCCGGAGACCGTGCTCTAGGTGGAAGCCTCAGGATGAGAACGACCACTTCGAGTGAAGATTTTACACGGAATGAAGATTTTACACGGAATCTCTGTGTAATAATGAAGTAACTTTGAAAATCAAGATTTATTTTGATGTTTTACTTGGCTGTACCATTCACTGAAGAGAATTAGGCGGCCCTTATACCATGCACCGTGGAATAGCGGTGCAAAAATAAAAAATAGGCAGTTGAATCAAAATTGAAAAAGGTGATGTGGTCATTTTTGACCGCGGCCATTTCGGACATGAATGGAATTTTTTGACGAAGCTTCGTAATGATAGAGAAGAAGGATTGATAAATGTGAAAATAATGATTGGAACATAAAATAGGCTCAGGTCCGCAAGAAAGAGCGCTTCAAACTTTTGTCGCAGTAATTATTCCTCACCATGTATTTTTATTTTTGCAGTATCCCTCAGTGAAAAAAAATGTGGGGCAATATATGACTCGTATACACACCCCCTGAAATCAGAAAATTATGCATTTTGTGTATTATGAGTGATTAAGTAGCATAAAAAACTGTCGAACACACAAATAAAAAGTGAGCAAGAAGTTTGCAAGACAGTTCCTTATCTAGTGAAATCCAAGAATAATATCCTTCCTCGCTCGAAATTCAGCATTTTGCCGTTAAGAAATTCTCGAACAAGTATATGTTTTTTTTTTTACAATTTGTTGTTATAGTCGAAGTCACTAAGAAAACTGCAAAACGGTATCTTTTTCCGAGAAACCAGAGAACAATTTCCTTTTTTGCTCGAAATTTAGCATTTTGCCGTCAAGAAAATCTTGAACAATTCTACGATTTTCCTTAAAAATAATGTTCTGTTCCTTTTTTTGTGTAATCCAATATTCATGAGGAGACGAGAGTTTTTATTGAGACGAAAAAATGTTGCACGACAATAATGTAGACGACAAAAAGTTGAATGGAAGGAAAATCCAAAAAAGCTGGCAATGGAAAACTTCGGAGTGGAAAGGCGAAAGATCCAAATTGATGGAAAAGACGTTGACGAATTGGATTTTAGACAAGTAAACGGAGAAAACATCAAGAAATCACAAGTAAATGAGGGGAGAAACATAAGAATAGTAAGAGTTAATCCTGCTTCTGACGGTTCGAAACATGGTTCTCCTGGTCCCTGACGTCAATCTCAGCATCGTCCGTCGTGTTGTCAAGGCGCTCGCCAAATCCTGAAAACTCCGTTTCATTTATCGATTTTTGTCTTGTTTAATATCCCAGTTCAAACTGAATGTAACTAGGAAAGCAAAATATTTGAAATTCTGTTGGAAATTGAAAATAGACTTCAAATTTGTGTCGATAATCGAGAATCTATTGAGCAGTGGTTCGAAGGAACGTTTTTCTTCGGATTTTTTCGGAAATTCTACAAACTTCACACTGAACCCTTTTTCATGAAAGATTGTTAAATCGATGATTATTAGTTTTGAATTATTCGAGAAACTTAATTTTTCGAAATCCTGCGCTCTACAAATTTCTTGAGCAAAACTAACCACGACCACGAGTGATGTTGTACCGATTTTTGGAGTAGAAACTCGCGCTGGCGCTGAACGTAGTCGGCTGGTGGGTTCGAAGCTGCAAAATTAGCTGAATGAATGATTTCCGGAATCTTCTAGATCTTTTTGAACTTGAGAGTTGAATTTCTACCTGAAGCAGAGGCCGATTCTGCGGATAATTCATTGGCTTCTTGGACTTCGGACTGGTCAGTCGGTTCAGTGGAGAGAAAGTCAGCAAAACTGAAGCCAGACGCGGTCAGAGATTCTGAAAATCGATTTAAGAATTGTCTTCCTGGAGATGTCATTTAAACTGTTTTTCCTTTCTGAAACTTATGAAAAAGATTCCTGATAAGGTCGTTTTTTTGCCTTTCTAACTTTGAAAAATTTTACAAATTGTTTCAAATCAAACCTGCGTCCCGATGAGCCGATCGTCTTGTGATGTTTCCGTTCACGTCCAAAAATCATTTCCTTCTGAGTTCCTACAGGCGTGTGATCTTCAGCAACTCCTGGAATGAAATTTTCATCAGTTTTATAACTTTTTTTACATTTTTCGCAGTTCTCTAACAGATTATCAACTTCTAAGTTCTTATTTTTTTTCAATTTCGAAACGGTTTTACCCAATAAAAATTGTACTCTTGACAGAAAATCAAATGGATACCTGTGGTCAAGGCGAGAGGTGTCTCCGCAGAAATGTCGTCTTGAGCCAAAATTGCCGAGAAGGAAATGTTGAAGTCATCTGAAAATGTACAGACTGTTTTCTATTGAGTGGAAGGAATGCATCGTGATAGTTCTCATCAAAGAAAACGACAAGGAGAACTTCTAATTCAGGTTATTTCTATGGCTTTTTCTTACTCTAACTTTCGTCGAAAAAAATTTTGATCAATAAAGTTTTTTGTTTTTCAGTCTTTCTTTTTTTTTTTGAACGAAGCTTTTGTGTTCAGACCTCGACCCTGATGATCGGATCGACGGGAGACGAATTCCTTGCCGACCGTGAAGTTCTGGAAACTGTCCTCAGCTTCGCGACTGATCTCGGCACACCCTGGAAGAAAATGATCATTTTCAAATTGTTCCAGTTCCATGACCAGTTTTTTTATTTTTTAAAGCTGGGAAGTTCTACATCAAAATCTCAATTTTTCTTACGTTCGTTTTTTTCACAAAGAGTTTCAATGTTTTTCTTTATTTAAAGTCATATTTGGGTCTGGTTTAAATTCCAGCAAGTTCTCAAGAAGTTGAGAAAAGAGTTTGAATATTTTTCCGTTACAAACCTGTCGTCGGACGCGGAACTCTTTCGACAACCGTGATCAGATCTGGTGAAGGCGTGAAAGGAGATGCGGCGGACCCTGAAAAATAAAAATCTGCTTAATTTTCTGGTTATTCCCGTTTCTACTAACAGTTTTATTGCTCAACAGAGTTTGAAGATGAGAAATCTTCATTTAGATTTTTTCCCAAAAGATTATTGATGAGCGCACTAATGATAATAAAATGACAAATAACTTTTATGAAGAATATTTCAACAATACTAAGACTGAGCAATTTTTTTCAACGTTAAAAAGTTTTCAAACCTCTGTTCTCGTCACGGAGCGGACTGGAAGGCTCTTCCGACGTGTTGACTTGGGTAACATCCAGGTCAACAGAGTCCAGAGACTGAGAGACGGAGACAGGAACAACTTCTACTTGAGAGGATTCTGTGTAACCGACTCCTGTAAAGTATACTTCAGTTTCAATGAAATGTCATTGCTGTCGATTGGGACTTATTTCCAAAAAAGAGGGTATCTCTTGTGCAAAGTATCTCTACCGAAATACGCGGAAGTTTTGAAAACTAACCATTTGCAACTTGTGACGGTTTCTCAGCAACCGCCGGCTCTTGGTTTTTCCTTTTCGTCTGGATAGCGAGATCTTCAAGTTCTGAAAAATCAAGTAAGTTGTTTCACGTGAAATGCAAAAGTCTTCGAAAAAGACACTTTTTTTGACAAATATAATCAGAAGCCCAACCTTGTATCCTTCGTTTCCGCTGACGCACCATGTGCAAATCTGAAATTTCATCAGTTAGGTTCTATTTTCCGTTGTTTTATTTGTGAGAATTAGAAAAAATCATCCAAAACTAATATCGGGAAAGTGGGAAAATTGTTTCGGTACCTATTTTAGTGGCAACAATCGCAGTTCTGGCACCAGGAACGGCCGATTTTCCCTGACCAGGAATCGATGGGTGAAACGACGGTTCTGAAAGAACAATGTGAAATCATGAAATTCCGCTTTTTTTTTCTGACTAGACGAATGTTCAAATTGGACGGTACTGTGAAAACTGTTTCGGACTAACCTTGCGCGAAAGACTTGAACAGCGAATTCAGCGCGTCACCATTTTGAGTAGACTTAGGTCGACCATCCGAATCTGCCTTGGCGCCCCCGACGCTAACGTCAAGAACCGAATCGTTTCCTGCAAAATTCGGTTGAAAGAAAGATCCACTTCACATGGCAGAGTTTCCGAAAAAGAATCACAAAGAGAATAAAATCCCAAGATCTCACCGAAAAAGTTCCGGGAGCCGATGGGGCGAACAGTAGCATTCAAATCGACGTTGGGAGTCCGGAAATTATTGGCCGGAACAGACGTCGATCTTGAGTCTGGAAAAATGTTTCTTTGAGAAAATTCTTGATTTTTCTTGAATTTCCTTTATGTTGAGATGGATTTCAGACCGCTTTTCTTTCGATGACATCGAAAAAAAAAAAAAAGAAATACTCAAAAAAAGGGGTTTAGAAGAAGGCCATCATGGAAATTCGCATAAGTGTTCCAGTTTATGTTTATACTTTCTAGAAACGTCGAAAACTCACTGTGACGGAAGCGTGTCGCAAACCGTGGCCGTGTGGAAAAAGGTTTAGCGCGTGAAAGTAGATTTGCTGACGAATTCAGAAGAGATTCTGAGGCTGAAGGGTCTCTGACGTCGACTCCACGGGAAGACAGAGTTTCGGAAATCTGCTCGGCTCCTGAAAAAAAGTTTTTATTAGTTATACGATATTCTGTATTAGGTAATTGGGCGACTTTTCAAATGCCTTTTCTAGAAAAAACGGTCATTCTGTTAAAACAAGAAAATATTTACTTCGAAAATTCCACTCACTGTTATTCATGTTGGAGTCTACGGCGCTTTTTCCATATTCATTCGGGCTTTCGACTTTTCCTCCGGAAGATGAAGCGACATTTACGGAAAACGACAAATTCTCGACATCTAAAAATATCCGATGAATAAAGTTTCTGAAAATAGTTCGTCGTCTTGAATAATTATATTTTCAAAAAAAAGTTATCAAACTCTATGAGTTTATTTGAAACGGTAAAATGAAAGAAAATGTATTCTTACCTCTATTTTCGGTTGTCGCGGATGTTGTGGGTGAGGATGTCGAGGGTTTAATTATTGCCAAGTGTGAGATTGTGCCTAAAAGTTCATCTATTCAAGAATGAAGCTGTGGGGAGACTTGGTGCAGAACTCAAAAAGTCAATGTTTTTTTTGAATTTGACATTTACCCTAACGGGAAAAAAAAAACCGAGAAGAAGTGCTCAGAGAATAAATAGATTCTCAGTTATTCCAGTGAATTTTTGAGTAAACTTCCGAGTAACCTACCGAGAGTGATTGTGGACGGATGGCTGGGCCTGCCGGCGCCTTGGAAGACGTCGGCAGGTGTTCCAGCCAAACCGTCACCTTCCTGATCTCCGGTTTGTTCTGAGTCGACAACACGATCTTGGCAGGTCTCGAGCGGCTCAACGACGGAATTGCCAACAGGACGAAGATCTGCCGGGTGGACGTTGAGGGCAGCGGATGCTGAAAAAAGGTTTTTATTGGGTCTGAGATCAATGAAAAATCAGGTTGATTGAAAGTTTCCATTCAGCAGGAAAAAGAACTGAGTTGAACTATTTCGAACTTTTGAGTCATTTTCAATTCGGATAACTTTCACGTCTAAGTCGGAAAAAACTCAAATTGAATGCAATATTCATTTGTTTTCGCGAGTAAATGTCTTCAGATTAGTTTTTGATTCCAATCTGTTTTTTTGAACGAGTTCAAACCTCCGTTAAGCTGACGTCGTCGGAGTGATCCCTGCCGAGGTCCCGTGGTTCCCCATGTTAACGGTGGACTTGTCGTACGAAGCATGGGACCTGGAAAAATCAAGGTTTAAAATGAAGATTTGTAGGGAAAAATCGTTCTCAATCAAGAAAAAAACAGCTATTCTAACAATAATTTGAGGCACGTCTTCCAATTTCTTCATAACTCACCGCGGCATGGACGAGAAGTTGCCGTGGGTGGACGTTGATCAGAAGTTGGCAAAGCCGGGAACTGGCGGTCGTAGTCGTGGACGTCCGACACTGTAATTAAAAGTTCCTTGTGAAATGTCACTTTCAAGTCATCGTAATAAATTACGAGACGTGAAGACTGTAGAAGTGAATATAAAAGGAATATTTCTGTGAGAAGCTACCGACTCTTCTTCACATAGACTGTTCTTTAGAGTCATCTGAGAGTGAAATCGAAGTTCTAAACTGACCGTTTTCGATGCGGGAAGTCGGAAGAGTCGCCGTTCCGTCGTTGCCAACTGCGGAAGCATACGTACCGGGAACGGTGTCCTTCTTAGCCGGGGATGCAGCACGAGAGTTGTCGCTCATCACTGTGTCTGGAATCTTTCGAGTTACTTTTTGAGAAATGGTTTAAGAGAAGAATCGCGAGCGTAATAACGAAACCGAGAAGGCATTGAAATTCACAAGTTGAAAATTTGCGACACTTTAATAACGGAAAAACAACGAACTAACCAAGTTTTCCCAGTTTTTCATTCAAAAAAATCGCGTTTCAAAACATTCAACGGAATTTTGTTTGGGAGTTACTTCAATTTCTTTGAATAATGCTTATTAAAAAACTTGGATAGCTTTGAAAGCAAAAAAAAGCGGAAAAAACCGCGGAAAAAAACGCTATTTCGCATCATTTGTCTCGTTTAAAACACTTTTGAACAGAAAATACTTTGAACCAATATTAAAAAAGAAATTCGGCAAGATTCAGAACAAAAAGCTTCGAAAGTTTCTTGAAATTAAATTGAACAAAAGAGAAAATGGTTGGCAAGTCGATTTTCACACTTTTTCACGACGATATATAAACCAAGAAATTTTAGTTTTCGATGCAAAAACATTCGAGTTTTTGTATTTAAACGTAGGAAACA